TTGACTCCTGTGCCACAGAATGAAGACTAATCTGAACATTCCCTTACCTCCTCTAAGTAAATTAAGGAAATGAAATTTATATTATTTCACTTTACATAATATCCTCCAAGTTTAGATATGTTGTAATATGTGACCGAATTTCCTTCTTTTTACAGACTCAATAGTATTCCGTTGTGTGTATATACCACATTTCTTATTCCTGTGCTTATTCCCTCTGGTTTTCATTACTTCATTTAAGTGATGGGTTCCAGACCATTCCAGTACCATAAGAAGAACGAATATGTTTGTCTATTATTCTTGAACATTGGACTTTGGCTTAACACAGATACTAATGTTTGAAATTATTTTCACTTAAGATATCATGGTTCTGATTTTTAGTTACAAGTTCTGGGGATTCTTCCAATTTCTTCATCTCCATTTTACTAGTTCTCTAATTCAGTTGTGACTGCCTTACTTAGATTCTCAAGAAATAAAGCATGATTGATGTACCAGTCAAATGAATACAGCATTCCTACGTAGGGCTTCTGTGCTTCTGCTCTGGGCTTCCAGCCTAGTAATCTAGACCGGATAACACATAAACTTCAAGGACCTTGTCTTACCCCCAACTTTTATCTTAAGCCAAGTCACAAGTTCTATCTCTTCCCTCCTGAATGCCAACCAGGCTTTTTGGGGTGCTGCTGAGCCAAAGTCCTTTTAATTAAAAGGTACATCTAACCTAAACCCTCTCAGCGACAACAGAACTCTAAATGAGGGGAATAAAATGTTGACCACATTGCAGGGCCATTGTGTATAGATGTACAGGTCGTGCCCTGATGTGGGGCTCTGTGGCTCTGTCTACTCAGAGGAAGGAGCATATTATTTCTTACATCAAGCTGGAGGCTCGACAAGCTGTACACCCCTCTGTCTGTATCTTCCCCAAAGTGGTACCTTTTCCTAATTCCTGTAAAGTTGTGCTAGCAGAGGTCCTGTTCTTTTGATTTTTTAAAATTGAGGTGAAATTCACATAACCTACAATTAACCATTTTAAAGTGTGTAACTGAGTGACGTATAGTATGTTCATAATGTTGTGCAACATCGTCTCTCTCTAGTTTCAAAAACTTTTCCATCATCCCAGTGGAACGCCCCCATGACCTTTAAGCAATCACTTCCCATACCCCTCTATCCCCAGTCACTGGCTCACCACTTTGATTTAACGATGAAAGATTTTATCCCTTGGAATGAAAGCCTCACTATGTGTCTTTTATTTAATACTTGCTTCATCTAGAACTCTCTCTGAAAATTAGAATAAGAATGGTGATAGTATACAGCCAACATCACATTCATTTAAATCCATCCTTGCAGTGAACATTTATTTTCTGCTTCACAATACATAAGAAGTATGTACAGATATTATAAAAACATCAGCTTATACTCCCTTTCACCATTTTTCGAAGTATATTTTGAGGAGTATTGGTGTTACAGGGTGTTAACAGGTAATATAAAAATAGAGTTTTCTGGCTAAGTTAGTTTGGGAGTGATGGTTATAGAGTTTCCTTCCTTCCTTCCTTCCTTCCTTCCTTCCTTCCTTCCTTCCTTCCTTCCTTCCTTCCTTCCTTCTTTCTTTCTTTCTTTCTTTCTTTCTTTCTCTTTGTCTCTTTCCTCTCTCTTTCTCTTTCTTTCTTTTCTTTTCTTTCTCTCTCTTTCTCTTCCTTCCTTCCTTCCTTCCTTTCTTTCTTTCTTTCTTTCTTTCTTTCTTTCTTTCTTTCTTTCTTTCTTTCTTTCTTTCTTTCTTTCCCTTTGTCTCTTTCCTCTCTCTTTCTCTTTCTTTCTTTTCTTTTCTTTCTCTCTCTCTTTCCCTTTCTTTCTTTCTTTCTCTCTCTCTTTCTTTCTTTCTCTTTGTCTCTTTCCTCTCTCTTTTTCTTTCTTTTCTTTTCTTTCTCTCTCTCTTTCTCTTCCTTCCTTCCTTTCTTTCTTTCTCTTTGTCTCTTTCCTCTCTCTTTCTCTTTCTTTCTTTTCTTTTCTTTCTCTCTCTCTTTCCCTTTCTTTCTTTCTTTCCTTCTCTCTCTCTCTTTCTTTCTTTCTCCTTCCTTCCTTTTCTTTCTTTCTTTCTTTCTTTCTTTCTTTCTTTCTTTCTTTCTTTCTTTCTTTCTTTCTTTCTTTCTTTCTTTCTTTCTTTCTTTCTTTCTTTCTTTCTTTCTTTCTTTCTTTCTTTCTTTCTTTCTTTCTTTCTTTCTTTCTTTCTTTCTTTCTTTCTTTCTTTCTTTCTGAGACAGACTCTCACTCTGTCACCCAGGCTGTAGTGTAGTGGCACAATCTTGTTTCACTGCAACCTCTACCTCCTGGATTCAAGTGATTCTCCTGCTTCAGGCTGTGAGACCACAGGTGCCCACCATGACGCCTGGCTAATTTTTGTAGTTTTAGTAGAGACGGGGTTTTGCCATGTTTGCCATGCTGGTCTCGAACTTGTGACCTCAGGTGATCCACCTGCCTCAGCCTCCGAAAGTGCTGGGATGATAGGTGTGAGCCACTGAGCCCGGCCACTGGTTATAGAGCTTTCTTTATTGCAGGGTATCTCAGTCCGTTTAATATTCCAATGTGGCTTTATAAACCTGCAAGATGGTGATAATGCATACGACATTATTTAACCACTGTATATTTTTTCCTCTTTGGGCATCTGAAGCAATTACTGGTCAATGTGTCGCCTGTTTAGGAAATTATCTACTCTCTTATGCCTGGAAGGGATGTTGTTGGTAATGACTCAGTTCTTTCATTTTCCAAATTAGAAATAGGTACCCAGGCAAGCGAAGGGATTTGCTCAAGGATTCATGGATAGCTAGTTACAAAGCTGGGACTAGAACTCAGGAGTCTGTATTTGCTTTTTGTTCTTCCTTTTCTAGAAGGAAAAAAAAAAAACCACTCAAATGTTCTTTCTGTTTTCTCACTCAACAACAATCAACATAGAAGATTTTTTTCTTTTCTTTTCTTTCTTTTCTTTTCTTTTTTTTTTTTTGAGACGGAGTTTCGCTCTGTTGCCCAGTCTGGAGTGCAGTGGCGCGATCTCGGCTCACTGCAAGCTCCCCCCCGCCCCGGGTTCACGCCATTCTCCTGCCTCAGCCTCCTGAGTAGCTGGGACTACAGGCGCCCGCCACCACGCCCTATCACCAGGTAAATAGCGTTAGAATGGAATTGGAGTGGAGAACACGCAGCTGGTATCTGCTGCATCATTCATTTCCTTGCTTATTGATGGGGAGAAATTTGGCCTGTGGCCTAATGTGTTCTCCAGTTCCATTCTAATGCTGTTTACCTGGCGATAGCGTCAGGTTTTACAGAGTGAGGGCTCAGTCCCGTAAGACTGCCCCCTACTTCCAGTGCCAAGCACATGAGCTCCAGGTTGTTTTGCCTGTGCTTCCGACCGACCAGCCGTAAGTTGGAAATTCCACGACCCCCTCCTTAAGTTTGATGAGTGTGCTAGAGCGGCTCCCAGGACTCAGGGAAACATTTAGTTTATTGGTTTATGATAAAGACCATTACAAAAGGTACAGAAGAAGAGAGGCATAGGGTAAGGTGTGGGGGAAGGGGTATGAGGAGCTTTCATAACCTCTCTGGGAACAGCACATTCCAGGAACCTCCACACATTCAGCTCTCCGGAAGCTCCTCAAATTCCGTGGGGTTTTTTTTTTTTTTTGAACATTTTATGGAGACTTCAGTGGATGGGCATGATGGACAACCATTAGAAACGTGATTGGACAAAAAGAGTATGATGTAATGTTAGTAGAGTGAGTGGTGAAACCCGGTAAGGCCTGTCTGTTCAGATCCTTCTTGGTCACTCTGTGCAGCCTTCCTTCCTCCAGGGCACGGGGCAGAACCTGTTCTGAAATGGGGATCTTATGACCTACAAGCAGACAAGGAAGGTAGGAGAATATCTTGACGGCCAGTGCCAAGAACAGTGGGGGAAGATTCTTGCCTTGAGGAGTAAAAGGAGCAGGTGAAAAGAGGGCAGGAGAAGGGCAGAGAGAGAGAGAGCAAAAGCGCACGCGCGCGAGAGAGAGAGAGAGAAAGAGAGAGAGACAGAGACAGAGAGAGAGAGAGAGAGAGAGAGAGATAAAGAGAGAGAGACAGAGACAGAGAGAGAGAGAGAGAGAGAGAGAGAGAGAGAGAGAGAGATACTGTTTTCTGAGGTCTGCTTCTGAAGTCTAAAGTGCCCTAACATCATAAAAAGGGCTATGGGAGTTATGAGCCTAGGACCTTGAATAAAATGTGTATGTTTGTTATGTGCTATTACTCTATAATCTTGTGTTTGTATTCTTTCCCAATTTTTATTGTGTTTTTGTGTATCATAGATGATAGAAATAATTGTACACAACCTCATATATGAATGAATGAATGGACAAATGAATAGATTTGACAGAACCTCAAGAAGCTGAATAACATGAAATTCCTTTTTATAAAATCAGTCTATTGGAATACCTAGCCCACCACTTAGCACATGTGAGAACCTTAGGAAACAGTTCCTAAATGCTGTCATGTTCCTTTAATCATATGTCTTAGCTGCAAAATATTGGACCATTTAATGGTAAAACAAAAGAAAATTACTTTTGAAGATCATCATTAAAAGCAGAAATACAGGAAAACCATAGTGCCATGTCATGTTGATATTTTGAAAAATCCCAGCACCCCAATATCTGTAACAAATTCCAAAGCAAAGAAAGTTCTAATGACTTCATCATTGAAAACCTTTATTAAATTTAAGTCCCAATAATTGTTGAAATATTTCAGATGATATTTATAGTAAAATATTATCTAACTCTTTTCACATTGTAGGACTTTGGCTGACATCCAGGTCTAGGAAAAAATTTTGGTCTTCCATTGTAAATGAATTTACATCCTAGAGAATTTATGTGGCTGTGTGATGAGAGGTTGCAAGCCCAGTTATAGGTACTGGAGTTCAGAAGATTGTTAGGATTCTAATTTGGCTAGTTTTAAAGTGCCATCTTATCAGGATTCCCAGCAGAAGGAGGTTTTCAACAAGTGGGCTCACAGGAGTAGCAGCAGCAGACTGGGCGGCAGCAGGACTGTCCACAGTAGGACGGGCGGCAGCAGGAGGCCTCGGCGTGGTGCAGCTGGCAGCAGGATGGGGGTGTGCAGCTCACCACACAGCAGGGGGGCAGGTAGGTGCCCTCCACGCGGCAGTCTGGGCGGCACCACCTGATACGGGTGCTCACAGCTCCACTGCTGCCTTCCTGGCCATAGCCGATGCCACCACCAATGCCATAGCTGGTTCCGCAGGAGCTGGTCTGGCAGCAGCTTGGCTGGCAGCAGCTGGTCTCACAGCAGCTTGGCTGGCAGCAGCTAGTTTCACAGCAGCTTGGCTGGCAGCAGCTGGAGCCACAAGTCCCACTGGTTGAGAAGCTGGGAAACCCACAGAAGCTGGTCTGGCAGCAGCTTGGCTGGCAGCAGCTGGTCTCACAGCAGCGTGGCTGGCAGGAGCTGGTCTCACAGCAGCTTGGCTGGCAGCAGCTGGAGCCACAGGTCCCACTGGTGGAGCAGCTGGGAAATCCACAGAAGCTGGTCTGACAGCAGGCCATGGTGTCAGGAGTTGGTCTGAGGTTTGGGTTGCTTGGAGGAGTTTCTGAGTTGTGGCTGCCTATTCCACCTCGGGCTTTTTATAAGTCTTGACCAATTCCTCTATCTGTGGCGAGCAACATTTTTATCTTGTTACTCTTTAAACCAGCCTTTCTAGGGCCCTCTGATGGTTCAAATGCTGAATTGTTTTAAATATATCTTGAAATTGATTTTTCCTTATTGCTCAGCTAATACTCACCAAATGTGTTTGTCCTTGGTAAAAATGTTAACATTTTGTTTTCAAACAATGGTGTAATTTCTACTTGAGCTTCAGCTTCAGTTTTGCACTTGTGGGCATATCATCTGACAAGGTGACTCTCACCCATAAGATGATGTGATTTTGGGGATTGTATTCACCAAACCTCAAGTCTCCAGAAAAGAATTATGAATCATGACTGTCCTATGTAAGACTGCTTTATATTTTTTAGACTAGTAAGATTATACTCTCTCTCTATAATCTTATTAGCCAGATAGAAATTCTGATAAACTCTACATTCATAGAAATTCATATATTTTTCACTGAAATGAAATCTTTCCAATTTCTGTGATATCTCCTGAACTTCACATTCATATCTGAGGAAACATTGATCACTCAGGAGGATATATAAAACAAAACCTGTTCAATTCCAATGTCTCTTAAAAGAGAGGCTAAAATTCATGTTCAGTAATTGGAAAAAGATTGCAAAATATTTTAATGAAATCTACACTTCTCTATGAAAGACAAAAATCACCGGTATATGGATTATCTGGCATATAATTTCTCAAAGGCAGAATTTATTTTTAATTTATGTCATTTCACATTACTAAACTGTATGTCCTGTGAAAAGATATTAGACCAAAGAGCATGACAACTGAATTTAGGAAGGGAAATCAATCAAAGAAAAAGCAAGAGTTAGAAAATACTTTTTTCTGCTTTATAAGGCAGGTTAGAAAATGGGTGACCAAATATAGTTCAAGAGGTGTAGTATAATAAATGCAAAGAGATTAAGATAAATTTCGACAAAATAAAAGTTAAAACAATTCCTGGCCATTGCTAGAAGAAAGAATGTGATTTTCTACTGGGAGTTTAGGGTTACATAACATACATGAAAAAAGTCTGGACAAAAACATATTATTTCTACTTGGGGTAGGTTTATTTCTCCCTTCCCATCATGAATAGAAACACATAGTTAGCATTTTATGAGGTGGTGGTGTTTATACAGGAATAGGGTTATATTACAATGTGATTCATGCCAGCATCAGTAAAGATGTTCATGTCATATGGTAACTATGACTGTAGGTATGACGTTGAAAATGGTTATATGTAATCGCTGAACGTTGGAGATCAAAAATGTGTAAATTATCTTGTTCCACCACTTAATTTTATAGGTGTAGAAACTGACATCATTCTTATTATAAATAGCACATATTTATTAACTTCTACTATGCCCAGAGCACTAAAGGCTTATACAGAAAGCAGGACCCCATCTGTTTGTTTCATATCTTGCTCTAGTATAAAAATCAGTGTAGTAGTAACAGGAGGGATTAATCAAGGAAAAGAGTTGAGTAAAGAACTATTTAGTCTCAAAGTTCTAAATGGGAACATTGGTGGTGTGGTATGGAGCACTTTTCATTTTCACTTAACATTAGTTGGTGTTAGAATACTCTTGAGTCTTGGAGAGGTTAAGTGACTTGTTCCATTCCCAGAGTACACAACTAGAAGAGCTGGGTATAAAACTCCTATCACTCATTCCTAGACCAGTTCTTTTTATTTTATACCATGCTACTTTTCAGAATCAATTAATGTTAGTAAAGCTCTTTGTATTTGTCTTTTTTTTCTTAAAAAAGGTATTTTGTAATAGCTCAAGAATATAAATATTAGATGATAGACAGATGACACTATGGACTAGCAATTTTAAATACACAATAAATAAGTATAAATATGTTAAAGTTCTTTTAAGTATCTGGACCAGAGACTTTTAAAAAAAATTATTATTATACTTTAAGTTCTAGGGTACATGTGCACAACATGCAGGTTTGTTACATATGTATACATGAGGTTTGTTACATATGTATACATGTGCCATGTTGGTGTGCTGCACCCATTAACTCGTCATTTACATAAGGTATATCTCCTAATGCTATCCCTCCTCCCTCCCCCCTCCCCACAATAGGCCCTGGTGTGGACCAGAGACTTATAATTGGAATAAATCACATTTGCTTCCTAGTCGTTTTTGTTTCCCACATTCAACTAAGTTAATATACTTTCTGGGTTTCTACATCTGCCATACTCATTGTGTCTTCTTTATTCCATGGGTATTATCTTAGTTGAGCTCTTATTGTACATCGGTTGGACCAGGGCAATATCTTCCTGATTAGTTTCTGTATAGTTCTGTGCAACTTATTTCTCTGGCCTTTGACCTCTGTCTTTATAAGGTGCTATCATGAGAATTGTCCCAATGCCCAGCTCTTGTTATGCCATTTTCCTGCCCCAAAACTTTCAACAGCTCCTTACTGCTTATTGCATTAAGGGTGTACTCCCTTGTCTAGTATTCAAAGCATACAAATTTTCCAAATCTTTCTTTCACTATCACTCTCTATATATCCAGTGCCCCCAGCCAAACTGTACTCTGAACAATGCTATGGTTCCCCTCCCTCCATACCTTTGCTCATACTATTTCTATTGCTACGAATGCCATCCCTCTGATCTGGGTAGCACAATCTGAACCCATATAAAATGTTAGCTTCTCTTTTCAATCTTTCTTTTTTTCCTCAACCAATAGTGACTTCTGTGTTGATACCACACAGTGTTGTACTTTTATTTTTTCATATTCTACTTTTTAGATGAATTATAGGTGAATATGACTCATGTCCCTAGAAGCTTTTTGAAGAAGGGAACATTTTTAATTCAATTTTAATTTCTATTTTATACCATGTAGCCTGTGACTTGCATATGGTAGGCAAACAGTGCATTTAGACCCTATTTGTCAACGTATTTAAAAACAACCCAAAATGGATTAAATACTTAAATATAAGACCACAAATAATAAAACTACTAGAAGAAAACATACAGGAAGCATTTTATGGCACTGGTCTGGGCAATGGTTTTTTTCTTGGGGGGATAAGACCTCAAAGGCACAGGCAACAAAAGTGAAAGTAGACAAATGGGATTATATAAAAGTAAAAACCTTCTGCACAGCAAAGGAAATAATCAAATCAACAGAGTGAAGAGACAACCTAGAGAATGGGAGAAAATATTTTCAAACTATGCATCTGACCAGGGGTTAATATCCAGAATATATAAGGAACTTGAACAACTCAACAGTGAATAACGATAATAAATCCAATTAAAAATAGGTAAAAGACCTGAATAGATATTTCACAAAAGAAAACACACAAATGGCCAACACATATATGAAGAAGTGCTCAGCATCACTAATCATCATGAAATGCAGATCAAAACCACAATGAGATACCATATCACTCCAATTAGAATGGCTATTATCAAAAATACAAAAAAGTAACAAATCCTGGTGTGGATGTGGTAAAAGGGGAGCTCATACAAGGTTGGAGGGAATGTAAAGTAGCATAGCCATTATGGAAAACAGTATGGAGGGTCCCCCAAAAATAGAACTACCATATGATCCAGCAATCCCATTACTGAGTATATGTCCAAAGGAAATGAAATCAGTATGTTGAGGAGATATCTGCACTTCCATGTTTGTTGCAGCACTATTCACAGCAGACAACATATGAAAACAATCTAAGTGTCCCATCAATGGATGAATGGATAGAGAAAATATGACACTCTCACACACACACAATGAAAACTATCAGCCATAAAAACAATGAAATACTGTCATGTGCAACAACATGGATGAACCTGGAGGACATTATGGTAAGTGAAATTAACCAGGCACAGGAAGACAAACAGCACATTCTCTCACTCCTATGTGAAATCTAAAGAAGTTAATCTCATAGAAGTAGAGAGTAGAATACTGGCTACCAGAGGCTGGGGAGAGTGAGAGGAGGGGAGGATAAGCAGAGATTGGTCAACAGGTACAAAGTTACAGATAGATAGGAGGGGTAAGTGTTGGTATTCTAATGTACAGTAGGATGACTATGGTTAATAATATTGTATCGTATATTTCAAAATAGCTAAAAGAGAAGATTTTAAATGCTCTTACCATGAAGAAATGATAAATGTATGAGGTGATGAATATGCTAAACACCCTGACTTGATTATTACAAAATGTATACATGTATGGAAACATCACACTGCACCCCATAAACATGTACAATTATGTGTCAGTTTTTGAAATTAAAAGTTAATTTAATACAAAACATTAGAATGAGTAAATAAAACCAAAGTTTTTGCAAGACCAAAGAACAGATATTTATTAGAAAATAAACATGCCACAAAATCTTAGATAGGTAGAAGGAAATTGCTTCCTTTACAAAGACTTCAGAAGGGCCCAGGTCTTAATGATGAGCCCGGTTCTCGGTTCCCAGCTTGGTTGATGTGGGGTCTTGCGGGCTCAGGGCAGGAGGTTTGTTAAAGTAGAGAAACGGGAGTGTGACTTTTTCAGAAGGTGAGTTGCATGTTCCGGGCAGTCAGTGACCTGCTCAGCAGGAGAAGGTCCTGCAGGTGGTGCTGCAAGGCGTCGGCTGGCCGCAGGGGGGCCGGCAGCAGGGGGACTGCACAGACACAGGCTGGCAGCAGGTGGTGGCCCAGCAGCAGGGCCTGCAGACCACAGCCGTGCACGACGTGGGGCAGCAGGTGATGGGGCGGCAGCAGCCTTCCTGCAGGGAGCAGGGGTCGCAGCACACCGGGCGGCGGCAGGGCTCGCAGATGGGACGCGTGCAGCGGGGCACGCAGGTCACGGGGCGGCACACGGTGGTCTGGTAGGTCACGGGGCGGCAGCAGCAGGGGTCGCGGTAGCAGCAGGGCTGGCAGCAGCCTCCCCCGTAGCTCAGGGAGGAGAAGGTGGAGCCGCAGCAGGAGCCGGTCATGGTGGTGTCTGAGGCTGGTGTGGGGTGGGCTGTTGAGAGGAGCTGGGTGTTCTCAGGTGTGAATGTCCTCCTCCCGCTCCGGGCCCTTTATATACCCTGGCCAGGGGCAGGTGACCCTTTTCGTTTACCTTTTGGCCAATTAAGTAGAATTCTGTTTTGGCTAATGGTTGCTTGTGACACACTCATTATCTCATTAAAGAGCTCTTGTTGCATCTCTAAGTATGGATGTACCTACACCGTGTGAAAATCTAAGAACTCATCGTCATTTGAGGTGATAGTAGCTCTCGATGCTTATTTTGAGTAGATAGCACTGGATCAAATCCGGACAAAATGGTCTAAAAACTTTTCAGTTTTAAAAAGAAATTATAAACATAGAGGAGTACATAGAACACTGAGTAGAGCCTATCCCGACCCCAGCAGGGGACTCAAGTCCTTGGAAGCACCTACATGTGAAAAGTGAATCACACGAGTGTTAGACAAGACCTCCCATGTAGTCTGCTTGGGAATATGTTTATCACTTGAAGTAGTGGGATACATAGGCCTTGAATAGGATAGTAGCTCATCTAGTTTTACAGGACAGATGAAAATTTTTGCAAGCCACTAAGTATTGGAATAATACCTCCAAGACTGCCTTGCATGTTTTCTTTTCTCTAGTACATGGTTCTGTGCAACTCTGGTCCTTCTGCTCATAAGGTGCTGATTTTTATCTCTGAAACATGTCATTTTTTAGCCTTGCCTTTCTTGTGCATGTAATGAAGAATTCTGTAATGGGAAATTTTTCTTAATATACCTTGACAGCTGGGCGCAGTGGCTCATGCCTGTAATCCCAACACTTGGGGAGGCTGAGGCAGGCAGATCACCTGAGCTCAGGAGTTCAAGACCACCCTGGGCAATATGGTGAAACCCCAACTCTAATAAAATACAAAAAATTAGCCAGGTGTGGTGGTGGGTGCCTGTAGTCCTAGCTATGCAGGAGGCTGGGGAACGAGAATCACTTGAGCCCCAGAGGCGGAGGTTGCAGTGAGCCAAGATCATGCCACAGAACTCCAGCTTGAGCTGCAAAGTGAGACTCCATCTCAAAAGGATATATACATGTATACCTTGACATAAGTGCTATGACTAGCAAGTGACAAGAAAGGGGTTTTCAACCGACATTGCACACATATCCAGTACACTGTTCAACGGAGACACGTTGGGAGGCTGCCCAGTGTTCTGCTGTGGCACTGCTAAAAGCGTGATGGACGGGCTCCTTCAGGAAGTGTTGCCAGAGGCAGTTTAGGAACTGCAAAGGGAAACAATCCCATTACCTTCCAGCTTTACTCCTCCTGTTAGTCACCAGACAGGGTTTTGAATCACTTCAGGATCATTTTCTTTATTTGAAAGAATGTGCCTTGGACCCCGACATCTTAAGCTCCCCAAATGGAATCTCAAGCATAATTTCAAAACTTTAAGGGGAACGTAAATTGACTGAACCCATAGTCACAATTAGCGAAACAGAAGAAGGAGCTATCAGGCACAATCTCATCACTAGAGACCTTTGACTCTCTTGTTTTAGATTCCTTTCTTTGTTCATGGACATGGGATTTTTGTTTTTCAAAGCGGTAACCAGAGGTAACTAGGTAAAAAGTTGTATATTCTGCTCTTTTTGAGACATATTATCTCATAATTTATTTTCATGCTGCTGTGGAGTCTTCATGGTAATCACATTTTATGCAATGGGAGCCTCTTTGGAAGACTTAAATCATCACATTAACAAGACTCATTTCTCTACTGCACAAACTTTGAACCCAAGTTAATTCCAAAGACATCTGTCTCTCCCCTTTGTAAAGATCCAAAAAAATAGTCTGTGTATCATTCAGTAAACCTTTCTAATGTTTATTCACTCTAAGACACTTATCCACACCCCATAGCCAAACTTAATTTGCAGGCAGAGAAGTTATGGGTCACGCTTCAGTTATTCATGCCCCAGAGTTGTGAGAGCACAGACAGCTCTGCGGTTTGAAACTGGTGGCAAGTCACATCCTATTTTCTGACCCCACTTATTCTGAAACTGGACAATGCTCATTTAAAGCTCTGCTGCTTACTGGCTGTGTGTCCTTGGGCCATAATAATAGTTCATATCAGAATTGTTGTAAGGATTACATGAGCTAATATTTGTCAAGTGCTAAGAACAAACAGTGTCTGGTACTTAGTATCTAAAATAGATATATTTTATATTATAATATACAAATATATATTTATATATAACATATAAAGATATATTTACTATATATACTATATATTTATATATAACATATAAATATATATTTAAATATATAGTATATATAGTAAATATATTTTTAAATATACAGTAAATATATATATTTATACATATATACACATATATAGTAACATGACCTTTTACTATATATAGAGTAAATATATGTAGTACATATATACATATATGTATATATGTACATATATACCTGTATGTGTATATATACATATACATATACACACATATATATGTATAAGTATATAGTAAAAGGTCATGTTACATTGGTACTTTTTAAATTCTAAACTTTAAGTTTAGAACAAAGATCAACATATTTTTTATGGCAAATGATCGGTTCTCTGCTCAGTCACCAAAGAATATGCATGAAATAACATTATTCAGTGGTGAGTTCCATTAATAGCATGAAGTAAAATAAAAGCACCTGGAAGGAAGAAATAGAGCACCTTCTCATTGAGTACTTACCTCTGTTAAGGGAGTCAGGCTATTGTTGAACTGACAGGCGGCACGTCTGTCAGGACTGTGTATAACAACAAGACCCCTACTGAGAACCCCACAGTCCATGCAATACAGAATGGGGTCTTAGAGAAGCATCCTTAAAAAAAAAAAAAAAAGGCCTTCAAATTGATTTAGACAGATTTCTCGTGGCGGTGGACAACAGATTTTGTGTAATAAACTCTAGAGCTTTATTTCACATTATCATTTAACAATAACATTATGAACAATTTTTTTTTCACTATTTCAACTTTTCCTTTAGATTCTGGGGGTACATTGTGTGATGTACCAGTTTGCTATGTGGGTATATTGTGTGATGCTGAGGTTTGGGGTATGATTGATCCTGTCACCCAGGACTGAGTGTAGTAGCCAATAGTTTTTCAATCCTTGTCTCCCTCCCTCTCTCCCCACTCTAGTAGTCCCCGATGTCGATTGTTGCCATCATTAGGTCAATGAATACCCGATGTTTAATTCCCATTTGTCAGTGAGAACATATGGCATTTGGTTTTCTGTTCCTGAGTTAATTTGATTAGGATAATGGCCCCCAGCTGCATCCATGTTACTGTGAAGGACATGAGTTCATTGTTTTTTATGGCTGAGTTGTACTCCATAGTGTATGTGTACCACATTTTCTCTATCCAGTCCACCACTGATGGGAACCTAGGTTGATTCCATGTCTTTGCTATTGTGAATTGTACTGTGACAAACATGCAAGTGCATGTGTCTTTTTGGTAGAATGATTTATTTTCTTTTGGCTACAGACCAAGTAAAGGGATTGCTGGGTCAAATGATAGTTCTATTTTAAGTTCTTGAGAAATCTCCACATTGCTTTCCATAGTGGCTGAACTAATCTACATTCCCATCAACAGCATATAAGCATTCTCTCCTCTCGACAGCCTTGTCAGCATCTGTTGTTTTTTTACTATTTCTTTCTTTATTCTGAAAGTATGGGGCTTCAATTACTGAGCTTTTTAATAATAGCCATTCTGACTGGTGCAAGATGGTATCTCATTGTGGTTTTGATTTGCATTTCTTTGATGAATAATGATATGGGGCATTTTTTCACATGTTTGTTGGCTGCTTGTATGTCTTATTTTGAGAAGTGATTGTTCAAGTCCTTTGCCCACTTTTTAATGGGGTTATTTGTTTTTTGCTTGTTCAATTGTTTAAGTTCCTTATAGATTCTGGATATTAGGCGTTTATTGGATGCACAGCTTGTGAATATTTTCTCTCATTCTGTAGGTTGTCTATTTACTGTGTTGATAGTTTCATTTACTGTGCAGAAGCTCTTTAGTTTAATTAGGTCCCGCTTGTCAATTTTTGTGTTTGTTGCAATTGCTTTTGAGGACTTAGTCATAAATTCTTTCTGAAGATTGATGCTCAGAATGATGTTTTCTAGATTTTCTCCTGGGGTTTTTACAGTTTGAGGTCTTACATTTAAATCTTTAATCCATCTTGAGTTAATTTTTCTATATGGTGAAATGTTGGGGTCTAGTTTCAATCCTCTGCATAGAGCTAGCCAGCTATCTCAGCACCACTTATCGAATAGGGAGTCCTATCCTCATTGCTTATTTTTGTTAATGTTATCAAAGATTAGATTGTTGTATGAGTGTGGCTTTATTTCTGGATTCTCTATTCTGTTCCTTTTGTCTATGCCACTTTATATTTTACAACCTTCTGTTTTGGTACCAGTACCATGCTGTTTTGTTTACTGTAGTCTTATAGCGTAGTTTGAAGTCAGGTAATGTGATGCCTCCAGATTTCTTTTTATTTAGGATTGCTTTGGCTATTTGGGCTCTTTTCGGTTCCATATGAATTTCAGAATCGTTTTTTTTCTGGTTCTGTGAAAAATGAGATTGGTAGCTTGATAAAAATAGCATTGAATCTGTAGATTGCTTTGGGCAGTGTAGCCATTTTAATGACATTGATTCTTCCAATCCATTGGCATGGGATGTTTTTCCATTCGTTTGTGTCACCTATCATTTCTTTAAGTCGTGTTCTGTAATTTTCTCTGTAGAGATTTTTCACTTCCTTGGTTAGATGTATTCCTAGGGGGTGTTTGTATGTGTGTGTGGCTATTGAAGTGTAAAATAAAGTCGTAAAATATACAACCATTTTGTGATTAACATGTCTCTCACCATACTAAGAAGAAGTGTTTGACTTAAGGTCTAAATGCAGGAAACATGCATTCTCCAGGGTCTTTTCTAAACTTTTGTGATTATAATTACATTAGTAAGTAACTAATTTACTCTTACATTACTCATGTTTCTTTAACTTTTGAAAGAGAGGTAATTGGCCAGAGGTTGCCTAAGGCTTCTTCCATCTCTAACACCCTGGGTATTCTATGATGTTCCAACAGGTGTTGGATCAGTAAATACACCATTAGGCTGGGAATATAAGTTTCAACCCAGGTGCAGCCTCCCAGGGTGTTTCTTGTTGCAGAACATTTCTCAGGTGTTCGATGCATGCCTGGAATTCTGGGCACAAGTGACTCTGTACACATGATAAAGACATAGTTGTACTCATCTTCCTGACTCAGCTGTGCTCCACAAATGCCATTTACGATGATTATAAGAAAACTACTCAGACTTAAGTTATGAGAACTATGTAAGAGGATTGTTCTGCATCTTGCTTTGAGTATCTCTAGACAAAAGAGAGATGCAATCTACCGGAAGGAAATATCACAAAGACCATGATTTCTATGCTAAGAATATTGAGTTTTATTAGAAAGCAGACAACATGATATGGGAGTTAGACTGGAGTCCTAGGAAGAGAGAGTATTTTTCATCTGTAGTTGGTCTGAAAAGGTATCTTCAGTGCATAGGGTGAGCTAGTATGAAGAGATGAGAAATGGGCTTCTCAAGGAAACGTGTATTGCTCTGCGGTGAAGCCCTGAGGGGCAGCGGGATGGTCCTGGCCATCTTCTGAAGGGTTCTTCGTGATTACGGGCTGCTCAGCAGGAGAAGGTCCTGCAGGTGGTGCTGCAAGGCGTCGGCTGGCCGCAGGGGGGCCGGCAGCAGGGGGACTGCACAGACACAGGCTGGCAGCAGGTGGTGGCCCAGCAGCAGGGCCTGCAGACCACAGCCGTGCACGACGTGGGGCAGCAGGTGATGGGGCGGCAGCAGCCTTCCTGCAGGGAGCAGGGGTCGCAGCACACCGGGCGGCGGCAGGGCTCGCAGATGGGACGCGTGCAGCGGGGCACGCAGGTCACGGGGCGGCACACGGTGGTCTGGTAGGTCACGGGGCGGCAGCAGCAGGGGTCGCGGTAGCAGCAGGGCTGGCAGCAGCCTTCCCCGTAGCTCAGGGAGGAGAAGGTGGAGCCGCAGCAGGAGCCGGTCATGGTGGTGTCTGAGGCTGGTGTGGGGTGGGCTGTTGAGAGGAGCTGGATGTTCTCAGATGTGAATGTCCTCCTCCCGCTCCGGGCCCTTTATATACCCTGGCTGGGAGCTGATGACCCCCAGGACACGAGGTCATTTCCTTGTTTTCACTTATTCTTCCTGAAATAACACCTGCAGATTAGTAAGTTTTCTAGACATTGTTTAGATACTCAGGTACACATAAATGTCTATTTGTTTTCCTTATTTAGTGTAGACCCATTATATTTTGCTATTTATGGTTCAAATATGAATTTAATGACCCTAACTTCAAAGTCTCCAATTATCATTATAATTCAATGATGCTTTTGCCAGTTGCTGTTTTGATAGCACAAAGCAGCTGTCATGCTCTGCATGCTCTGAGGGTTACTTGCTAGCAGTTGAAGTACACCTCAAGTTGTTAGCATTCTTTGCCACTGCTAAGCTTCCTGGGCAAAACAAGTTGAGGATAATACTACAGGGATAGTTTAAAAGTCAAGATTTCTCAGTAAAAGAAGAATTTTCCAGTCCTCTTTTTGGAGGTACAAGAATGCATTTTAGTAGGTTTCCATCATCCAGTGGTTTTTGTCTTAGAGATATGTTCATTGATTTCTATGGTTGTATATTTCCAGACCAAGGTAAATTTCACTGTAATCTTCATGATAGCCAGTATCATTAAGTTCTAACTATGTTCCAAGCAGCATATTAAAAAATACACGTATTAATGTCATCTTCATAACATTCTTAGGATGTAGATACTGTTTATTTCTCATTTCACACATGAGGAACCAGATAAGTGACTTACCCAAGGTCATGTACCTAGTAAGTGTTGGAGCCAATACTCACTCCAGAAATATCTGTGGGAACATTATTTGTCAGCCCAAAAAGCTGAAGAACTCACTGTAGCTAAAAAATGGATTGTAGGCACCACATTCCCAGATATTAAGGAATGTCTATTTTATTTAGGAACTTTTACAATGTATTTACTTTGAAAACAGTTGTTATTTGTGATATGGCTAATTTTTTAGAGTCAGCTGAAAGGACTCTATGTCTTACCAATAGCCTCAGGAATGGGAAGAATTACCTTCTATTCAGCCTTCTGAAAATGTCAAAACATACCCTAAGGAGATAGTGTCATAGTTGGGCATAATTGAATGATCATGGGGTATTGTGAACAAAGCCACCAAAATGGTGAGAAAGTCAAACAAGTCTATGTAGATGAAGGCTGCAGTCTTGCAGTATAATAAAACCCTTCAGTAGTGATCCCAGTTGAATGTGTTCTCAGGCCTCATCCGGCCCATACCTCAGTGTCTTCAACATCTCCCTGTGTGCTATGCTGGGGCTCATTTCTGCTTATGGAACCAATTGTCATTTTTAATTGTTTCAAATTGTCATGACTTGTAGGCAAATTATGTCACTCAATCACATTTTAGTCTTTGCCTCTTAATTTGCTTGGTCCTGACCTTTTCCTTTACAACTAAGTCTGTTCTATTAGGTTGGTGCAAAAAGTAATTGTGGTTTTTGGCATTACTTTCAATGGCAAAAGCTGCAATTACTTTTGCACCAATCTAATAGATCTGAAGTTGAAGGTTCAAGTGTAGGCCTTCTTATTGATCACACTTCTTGCATGGTTTCTTACAGGCTTACCCAGATCTGCACCAGTCAGTTTGGCCAACCAGAGAATGGGGTGACTGTGGAAATAAATGAGATTCAATAATAGCGATAACTTTAGGGGGAAACAAGGCATTCCCCATTTGAGAAAACACTTTTAAATAAGGAGGTCTCTAGAAGGCTAAAAAGAAAAACTCTGAGAGGAGAAAAACAGATGCACTTAGCAAATTTTGAAAACACTGATCAAGATTATATACAAAGAGGCTGGGCGTGGTGGCTCACGCCTGTAATCCCAGCACTTTGGGAGGCTGTGGCGGGCGCATCACGAGGTCAGGAGATCGAGACCATCCTGGTTAACATGGTGAAACCCCATCTCTACTAAAAATACAAAAAATTAGCTGGGCATGATGGCAGGCACCTGTAGTCCCAACTACTCGCAAGGCTGAGGCAGAAGAATGGTGTGAACCCGGGAAGCGGAGCTTGCAGTGAGCGGAGATTGTGCCACTGTACTCCAACCTGGGCAACAGAGCAAGACTCCGTCTCCAAAAAAAAAAAAAAGAATATATAGAAAGAAATTAGACTTATGAGCCTATCCATTGGTTAATTACCAAACGGTTAACAAAGATAAAACTCCATTGTGCACATACTGAAAATGTAAAGGTTTTGAATATAACAGTCTTCTTGTTGAGAAACTTTTACCATATTTCCAGAAAAAAGATCTTTCTTCATGATTGGTTTATTGTTTTAAGAATATGCACATCCAGCATGATGAGTTGAGAGTTGGGATGGAATGATGATGTTTTTCTCTCTTCTAACCAATCCCCTTAGAACTTATTCATTCATCATTCAACACATCATTTTTTATTATACTCAATGTGCCAAATATTGTGCAGGTCAGTGGGAATCTAGTAGTGAACAAAGTTAGTCAAGATCCTGGCCCTCAATGTAAATTAGCTCAGCCATTGTGGCAAGCAGTTTGGCAATTTCTGAAAGTATTTAAAACAGAATTGCCATCCAACCCAGCAATCCCATTATTGGGTATGGACCCAGAGGAATAGAAGTCATTCTACCATAAAGACAATACATGCATACGTCTGGTCAAGGTAGCAAAAATATGGAATCAACCTAAATACCCATTAAGGGTGGACAGGATAAAGAAAATATGGTACACATACATCACAGAATAGTACACAGCCATAAAAAAAGGAAATTATGTCCTTTGTAACAATGTGGATGAAGCTGGAGGCCATTATCCTAAGCGAACTAACGCAGATACAGAAAACCAAATACCACATGTTCTCACTTATAAGTGGTATCTAAACATTGAATACATATGGACACAAAGAAGGGAACAACAGATACTGAGGCCTACTTGAAGGCGGATGGCGGGAAGAGGGTGAGGATGAAAAAACCACCTGTCTGTTACTATGCTTTTGTTTAATTTAATTAATTAATTAATTTTTTGAAACGGAGTCTCACTCTGTCACCCAGGCAGGAGTGCAGTGGTGCAATCTTGGCTCACCGAAGCCTCTGCCTCCCAGGTTCAAGTGATTCTCCTGACTCAGCCTCCTGAGTAGCTTGGATTACAGGCGCATGCCACCATGCCCAGCTAATTTTTGTATATTTAGTAGAGACAGGGTTTCGCCATGTTGGCCATGAATGGTCTTGAATTCCTGGCCTCAAGTGACCTACCCACCTTAGCCTCCCAAAGTGCCGGGATTACAGGCATAAGCCACTGCACCTGGCCATCTGTTACTATGCTTATTACCTGGGTGATGAAATAATCTGTATACCAAAACCCTGTGACACACAATTTACCTATATAACACACCTGCACATGTATCCCTGAACTTAAAATAAATTTAAATTTAAAAAAATGAAGACCTCTGCCCTCACAAAGCTTCCCTTGCCTCACTTTTCTCAATGGGCAGGTAGATATGCCCAGGAATACATGCCGAACAATCAAAGAAACCTCTTTTCTATCAGATGCTAGGAACTAAAAACATATTTCTCAGCGAAATGATAGTGGTTAGCCTTCCTTACCAACCTACAAGTATTTAACAATATCAACAATATATGCAGTATGGATTAATGTTATCAGCATTTCAACTGCATTGGTGTTGTTTAAATGGTAAGATGAATGTGGAGCTCAAAACCAGGATGATGACAACCAAGGCTTCACTTCTCCCTGCCTTCTCAGCAGCAGCCACTCCACTGGAAGTAGAACTGGCCGTGATGGTGCTGATGGGAACCATGGAGAATTTGGGATAGTGGTTCCTCCAGCATGGGATGTTCAGTGGCTAGGGATTCCCAGGTCCCCTTTGACATCAATTACTGCACAGTTTTCTACATTGGTGAACAAATGGGGCTGTAACTTAACTTAGACTTCCTCCCCCTTATCATGTGTGTGAATTATTCATAAGTCAAGTTTATGTTTACAGAGACCTACTGTAGTCTCACCATTTCCTCAGCATCACCATAAAACCTGCGACTAGAAATATGAAGGTGAATCACATGAGATGATCAGATTTATTTTGACATGCTATTAAAATTATAGACCTTCCACCTGAGTTGTTCCTATTCTAAAGCTCAAAAATGGCCCTTAGAAAATCCTTCCTTTCGTTCTTCTGATTCTGTATGCTGTAATGTAAGCTAAATATGAGCTTTTGAAGAGTGATAAACAATAAATAAAAAGAAATGTGTTTACTTCCCCAGAAATAAAATTTTATTTTATTTTTACAGGCAAAAATACAGCATACAAATAGCATTATCCTGGAAGAAAAAAAATCTCATCTGAGAACCTTGAAATAATACAAAAAAGGGTGATGAGTCAGTGGGACAGAGTTCTATTCAAGAGGAGCTTTGATTTGTATTTACTCGTTTTTTTTTTTTTTGTTTGTTTGTTTGTTTGTTTGTTTGTTTTAAGCCAAGAAATCAAATGATGAAAGCTGGAATTTTTCTCAAGATTGTCAGAGAGGGCCAGGATTAGCTACATAATTATGTGGGGAAACAGGATGTTATTGTTGAATTCGTGCTTGTGGATCAGCTAGGCTGCAAAGGTGGAGTCTCTCATCTGATCCAGAAGGGGTGGAAGAGTCTGCACATGATTCTGTGCACCTGGGAATGTTTTGTGCGTTGAGGGGAGAGGTGGGGTCTCAGCAGGAGAAGGTCCTGCAGGTGGTGCTGCAAGGCGTCGGCTGGCCGCAGGGGGGCCGGCAGCAGGGGGACTGCACAGACACAGGCTGGCAGCAGGTGGTGGCCCAGCAGCAGGGCCTGCAGACCACAGCCGTGCACGACGTGGGGCAGCAGGTGATGGGGCGGCAGCAGCCTTCCTGCAGGGAGCAGGGGTCGCAGCACACCGGGCGGCGGCAGGGCTCGCAGATGGGGCGCGTGCAGCGGGGCACGCAGGTCACGGGGCGGCACACGGTGGTCTGGTAGGTCACGGGGCGGCAGCAGCAGGGGTCGCGGTAGCAGCAGGGCTGGCAGCAGCCTCCCCCGTAGCTCAGGGAGGAGAAGGTGGAGCCGCAGCAGGAGCCAGTCATGGTGGTGTCTGAGGCTGGTGTGGGGTGGGCTGTTGAGAGGAGCTGGGTGTTCTCGGGTGTGAATGTCCTCGTGCCCCTCTGGGCCCTTTATATGCCCTGGCTGGGAGCTAATGACCCCCAGGACGTGAGGTCATTTCCTGGAGTTGTAGCTGCCCGTTGAAATGAGAACTCTGGATTTAACTGCTGAGGCAGCGATCCCTAAATCACTAAAGGATGCTTTGTTTTCTACCTGTCTGCTTTTTCCCTTTAACTGAATACCTGGTGATGTATATCATCAGAACAATTGCTCATCTGTCAGCTTCCAGGTCATGCCATGTGAGAAGATGCAAGTTTGAAGAATCCAGCATTGCCACCATCACACTTTCCTCTTGTTTGCTGCCATCCGTGACTTAAGCATAAGACTGGAAAGTTCATGAGTCACAGGCCAGGTTTCTGATTGGCATTGAGATCAAGTAAGAATTTCTAAAAAGCCAAAATTGTTCATAAGAGCGGATGTGTATTGATTCTGCTATGGAAAGCATGGCCCAGTGTTTGATGACACAGTGCCTAACCTTGTTTGTAAGAAAATCATCACCAAAGCTGCTAGACTGATTTTATTTTAGTAATCTGAGTTGGTTTATAACTCATTAACACTTATGAGACACTATGTAGATGATGCTGTACTATTTGGGGGTGGAGAGGGAAAGGAAAGAAAAATAACTTTCAAATAGTTTCCTATCACATAGCAGTCACAAATTTTAGTAAGGCAAGACAAAGATAAATCAAGCAATTAAAGGGAAAGAACTTTTCTGGAAACAATAAAGTCAAAGTAAGTGGGGATTTAATTCATTCTGTGCCTTTCTGAATGCCCTTCCATGATTATTGTCTTAGAAATAAAATTGAAATTGGCTATTTCTTGCTTTCTTGCTTTGACATATGCACTTTGTATTACATACTTCAAAATCTATGGACAATATCTACAAAGGAATCAGTTATCTTTCTGTCACAGCTGCTTTAATTTGTTGGCTGAGGGTTTTGTTTGCTTATGAGGTGGTAAGGTGGTATTATGAAAAAGACAAGGGGAATTAGTTGAGCTGGTGACCAATAAAATAGCTTTGTCTTTTCCAGCCATAGTGAAGACGAATAGGAATACAGAAAATAAATTTTGTGTTGGAAGGTAGATTAAAGATAACATTGCCCAAGGAATGCTGATGGTCTTCGGCACAAATTTACCTCTGAGGTGTGTTTTGTTTTGTTTGCTCTTTTTAAAAATACACCTTTGGTCTACCATATCTCTGATCTTTGAAGGCCTTTGAGTCTATGATCCATCGTAGTCCATCACAGTTTTTGGAAGACCAGATTTACAAAATGAATTCCTCCAAAGTCGTACAGATCAAAGAGTGGCAAATCTTTAACAATACCACAGGTCTTCTGTGGAGTAGAAACATTGGTGATGTCTCCTAGTCTTTTTCCAACTTGGAGTCACTCAAAATAGACAACATGTAGCAGTTGTTATTAAAAATTTTTATTCTCTTTAGTGAAATAAAATAAGTACTCACTTGATACATGGTATAGCATACTGTTCTTTGTTTCGGAATGTATACAGAGATGCCAAACTAAAAAGAAATATGTCTATAAATCCACTGCTTTTGTTAACAAAAGAACGCAGTATGAAGAAATACTTTTTTCTAAAATTATAGGCTGTCAGAAACCTTGCTCTTCATCCATATCAGTAAGAAGCAAACATTCCACTCTTGCCTGGACAGGATCTAAGTCATTTGGACAGAGAAGCAACCTCAGTACCCAAACCAGGTGCAGAATTTCAGACAATTGACTTTCAGACACAACATTCCCCATTTGTCTTAACTATACAGCTTCCAGCAAAGGAGGACCATAAGTCTGTTTCACAGACCACATCTGGTGTTAATTATTTTTTAAACACAGCCCTGTTTTTCCCTGAGCTTATGAAAACACTATGTCATGTAATTTTACCCCACCATTCCTCAACATTTTATAATAACATTTCTCTACTTTGTTTGGGAGGATGCCCTGTGGTCCTCAGCCATGTGGTCTCCCTTGCTATAGCATGTTGATAGTCCTAAGCTATTGGACAAGAGGTGTGTCCCTGGTCTTTACCACATGGACTTTTTAGTCATATTATTCAAGTTACACACATACTTCAAGTGCATAATCACCAGGATGGAAACAAGTAAATCTTAAGCACAGTGAAAATAACTTGTGAGATTTTTGTAGTTGGATAGATAAAGAATGTAGTGTTGGTGACCCTTTGTGATGGTGGGCCACGCCCTCTTCTTAATAGTTTTATGAATTGTATTTTGTTAGGAACTAGTCTGGGAGCCACTAGATGTTAGGAAATTTATTAAAATTCTGAAATTAGAATATACATTCCTTAAGGACTTTGTTCTCAGAAATAATCTTAAAAATATCCTCCAATCGTAAGAGTCAGAGATGGGATGGGGAAGATTGATGGGCAAAGGGCAGGAGGAGAATGGAGAAGATAAAGAAGGATTCCAATCCTTTCTCCATCTCTTTGCAGTTGTAAATGACTTACCTTAGCCAGGTTTCCTCATCTGTAAAATGGGCAGAGTCTTCAGTGCCTGGTGTTCTTCAGAGGCTGGCTTATCATAAAATCCATGCAAATGTGGAAGACAGAGGAATATAATTAATTAGATATAATTAGAAAAGAGAAAATAGTTTAGTTGGGAGAGATAGAAAAACTAAATGATCAGGGGACTGGTGGAATTTGTTGCTAGAATTTTTTAAAAAAATTCATCTGAGTTTTTTAGATATTCATCTGCCTAAAGTCAGGGAAGGCAAAGTAATCTTTTGGGGTCTATTACAGCTTTGAGTTGTTTAATTCCCTTGGATGGTTCAATGTGAAAGAAAGAGTCTAACCATCAGATACTTACAGTTTGCTCAGTCCTTCTTTTTTCCGATGCTGCACTCCTATTCATAAATCCTGTAATCTCGGACTCATTCCTGTGGACTTGTAGAATGAATTTTTAAAGATCATTTTCATTCTGAGACAGCCTTAATCTGATGCCAAGTTGTTGTGGGGTTTTTTTTTTTTTTTTTTTGCCTTCTTCATTATATTTATTAAAAAATCTATTGCTGCCAGTAGAAGTGGACTATCCTGAAAAAAAATTACAATTTAAGTGTGATTAGTAAAGCCTTCCCCCGAATTTGTTCCCATTCTCAATGATTTGGTATGTAGTAGATAGCATGTCTTTTGAGCCTGTTCAATACAGTCATGTCCAAATGCACCACAGGAATATAAATGAATGGTATTGGGCATTTAACTATGTGCCAGGGCATCTTGCAGTCATAAAAAGTTATAAAAGTTATTTAACTTTCCCAATAATCTACGTTGGTAAATGTTGCTTTTCCCATTTTGCGGACGGGATAACTAGAGTCAGAGAGGTTAAGTTACACCAATGCCGAAATTTTTGCTTTAAATAAATACCTACCTTTTAAAATTCTTGTGGTAAAGACAATTTCCTTTTGATTTATTTTGATAACTAAACAAGCGGAAATTAAATACTAGTTATGTATTAAATGTTGAGCTCAGTATTGGAAGCCAAAATAAACTGTGATCCCCTCCTTGGAGGCCCAAAAAAACATATAATCTCAATACAATGCCTTATGGGGAGGGAGGTAAGCTATTGGAACTTGCTGAGAACTCCTAACCTGTGTGTGTGTGTGCACGTGTGCACTCATGCATATGTGTGCAAGCGCACAGGTGTGTATGCATTTGCACATGTGTTTGTGTGATACAGGGTTTGGGATAGGACTACTGGAGAAGACTGAATTGAATCTTGGAAATGACTCAGAGTTAAGTAGGTGATGAAGGTGAAGAAAAAGAGTGTGTGAAAGAACAGATAAGTGAAAGAACATGAGGAAAAGCAAAACATTTAGAACTGCAAATGTTTAATAACTATAAGGTCAGTGTTGCTTGAAGTGAATCTTAGTGGGGAGCAGTGAGACATGGATCTGTAGAGATGGGCAAAGGACAGGCAGCAGACTGCCTGATGTGCACACGCTTCCTAGCCACGTGGGTAATCTAAGGACTAGTCTAGCTCTCCTGTAACATCTTCAAATACTTGTACCGGGAATCCTAGTGCCTCTCTCTTTTCCTCTTCTGTCTTCATCATCATCTCCATCATCTTCCTCTTCGCTTTTCTTCCTATTCATTGCCTTGCCTCCCCTCTTCACTTTTATTTAATCCCTTATCTCTTCCTTTTTGTCTCTCTTTTTTGTCATTGTTGTCATTTTATTCCACCTATGACAAGCTCAAGACACTGTCTTTTTGCACATTCATTTCTCTGCCAAATTGATTCTTCTGATTACAGTTTAGCAGGTGCTATTTCAGACTTATTACTATATTACCCTTTTTTCTTAACTGTGGTTGTCTTCATTGTGGCTTGTTCCAGTGACTATTCTTGGAAGGCTACCAGGCCATGCTTGTTGAGGTCTCAAGGAGCTCAAATCCTGGTCTTCCTCCGAAATAATGGTCCTGAAATTCTAAGGAATTACATGGAAGTGATAGAAAATAAGCAGTCTTGGGCCCCATTCCCAGAGATTTTGATTCATTAGGTTTGGTTTGGGGCCCAAGAATGTGCATTTTAAATTGCAAGAGATTCTAGTGTGTATGATGCATGGGCCACACTTTGAAAAACGCTACTCTAGGAACTATGCTAAGAAGATGAGATGCACTGTGCTGGTCAGGTTTACTGCCAGTGGTCATTCTGGGCTTGGCATATGCTATTCCCACTTTTACCCTCTTCATGAACATTGCGTTTCCTTTTGTCTATTCCATTAGCCCATAAGCTCCTTGGATGCAAGGCATGTAGCTTGTTCATCACTAATCAGGCTGCACCTGTCAATTGGAGGTCCCTTGATAAACAATTCTTGAATGACTGAATGGATGAGATTTCCATGGATAAAGTTTTGCTTAGGTTGAGCTTTGGTTCCCTGGTGCAGGTTCCAAAATCTTGCTTATCTGTGTGCACTAATAAACATGCACTAACAAATAAATCAGGGAGCAGGGCAGTTTGCTATGCCAGGAAAAATTAGTTTATTGACAACAGTGAGCAACACATTGCAAAAGATGATGGTGACAGTTTGAGCAGTAAAACCATCAGATTGTAGAATGTGTTTGCAAAGTCCACCCCAGGGATTCTTAAAGGTCAATTTACTATCCATAATGACTAAGGTTGATGTAGACACCTGAAAAGGTGGGTGAGGGTGGTAGTGGACATCTGCTT